ACTGTCCACTCTCTGTCCACCCCAATGTCCACCCAATGTCCATCCCATTGTCCACTCAATGTCCACCCCAATGTCCACCTCTGTCCACCCCAATGTCCACCCCAATGTCCACTCTCTGTCCACCCCAATGTCCACTCCATGTCCATCCCATTGTCCACTCTGTGTCCACCACAATGTCCACTCTCTGTCCACTCAGTGTCCACTCTCTGTCCATCCCTGTGTCCATCCACCCCTCTGTCCATTGGCTCCATTGATGTCCATCCATTGTCCATCCATTGTCCATTATTTTTCTCCATGGGCGTTGTGTCCACTCCTCTGTCCACTCTCTGTGTCCATCCCATTGTCCACCCCATTGTCCACTCTCTGTCCATCCCAATGTCCACCCCAATGTCCATCCCATTGTCCACTCTGGTCACTCCCCACCCCAATGTCCACCCCAATGTCCATTTGTCCAGTTGTCCACTCACTTGGCGGGTTTGTCCAGGCTGCAGAAGGCGCTGAAGGCCAGCAGCTGCTGCTGGACACCGGACAGCGAGTTGGCGAATTTCTGTTTGGAGATGACCTCGATTGTCCGGAGCGTCCAGGACAGCAGCTCGGACGCCATGGACTCGTAGCGGTCAGTCAGAGTGGACATGTCCATCAGCTGCTCCAGGACCTGGGATGGCCGGAGAAAACGGGGTCAGGGACGGGAGTGGACAGAGAGTGGACATTGGGGTGGATGGACACAAGGATGGACAGAGAGTGGACGGAGTGGACATTGGGGTGGACAGAGGGGTGGACAGAGAGTGGACATTGGGGTGGACACAACATCCATGGAGAAAATTATGGACAATGGGTGGACAATGAGTGGACATCAATGGAAACAATGGACAGAGGGGTGGACAGATGGACAGAGAGTGGACATTGGGGTGGACACAGAGTGGACAGAGGGGTGGATGGACACAAGGATGGACAGAGAGTGGACATTGGGGTGGACATTGGGGTGGACATTGGGGTGGACACAACCTCCATGGAGAAAAGGATGGACAATGAGTGGACATCAATGGAAACAGTGGACAGATGGACACAAGAATGGACTTGAGGATGGACAGAGGGGTGGACAGAGGGATTGATGGACAGAGAATGGACAGAGTGGACAATGGGGTGGACAGAGAGTGGACATTGGGGTGGACAGAGGGGTGGACACAACTTCCATGGACAAAAGAATGGACAATGGGTGGACACCAATGCAACCAATGGACAAATGGACAGAGAGTGGACATTGGGTGGACAGAGTGGACAAAGGGGTGGACATTGGGTGGACAAAGGGGTGGACATTGGGGTGGACAGAGGGGTGGACAGAGGGGTGGACACAATCTCCATGGAAAATGGATGGACAATGAGTGGACATCAATGCAGCCAATGGACAAATGGACTTCAGGATGGACAGAGGGGTGTCCGGAGCTCTCCGGCCAATGTCCATCTGGTCACCTTGCCCACTCGCTTGCCCTCCA